AGTATAGATAACGGCTAACTACTACTAGTACGTAATCTAAAAACAAAGTAAGACAAGCTTTAATGTCTACTAAACGTACATGTAGGTCTATATATAGTAGATAACGTACAAGAATACGCCTATACGATAAATTATAACGTTCTAAGTAGAGAGTTAACCTATATGTACGTTCTCTTTGTTTTATTACTCTCTTTAAATCTATTAATCTATCGTCTTTTCCTATCGATCTATAGTATCTGCTATTAATCTGTCATTAATCTGTTATTAAATCTATTGATCTACAGCATCTGCTATTAATCTGCTATCAAATCTATCGATCTATAGCATCTGCTATTAATCTATCATTAATCTATTATCAAATCTATTATTCTATAGTATCTACTATCCTTTTCTCTTTGTTTACTAACTAATTAATTACCTTACCTAGGAAATAAAAGGCTTAGGCTAATATAGCTACTCTTTTAAATCTAATAGTATACCTGTTTATAAAGGATAACGTACTTTAGTCCTTTTGTCTTAGGTTTACAGGCGTATAGTTAGATATATACCCTAATCTCGTAGAGCCTCTTGTAATAATAGAAGCTAATTGTCTACGACTTATTAATAGCTTTGTACCGCGGACTAAACGGGTTGTCGCTAGGAATAGGAATAATAATAATAACGAACTAGTATTAACTGTTTTAATAGATACTAATTATCTAGAGGTACGTATAGATATTTAGGGATACTAGTTAACACGTAGTAGAGCCGCCTAGAGGTTACAATTAAACAACATATTATCCCTCTCTACCCTACTAACAGCTTCTTAATTTAGCTAGTAGTTAAGGGCTATATTTACCTAAGGTAGGTATAGAGAAGGCTTTTCTAGGGTCCCTTATACAACATGTAGAGAAGGCTTTTCTAGGGTCCTTATACTACAACAATCATTACTAACAGTTATACAGACTATATAGTTCGTAACATTATCTGATTTAGTAGACACGATCGACTATACTAGTATAGGCAGGTTTTATTTACGAACGATACAAAACAGTATACATTTCGGATTAGAGAGGTATATAGGTTAAAAGATAATATAATATACTTAATTAATTAGTTAGTAGTCGTATAATTCTAAGGACAGCGATTCCTCTTCTTTATTAGTATAGCTCTTAACGATACTACTATAGAAGACCTAATCCTTTGTATACTGATCTTTTAGACTTCTAACAAGACAATAGTATTTAGGCTACGGCGACTCGAATAAGTACAAGAGTATATAGTAAACGTACTAAGTAATAGACTATAGAATAATAATATTAACGAGGAAGGGAAAGACTTTATAATAATGTGTAGCTAGAGAGTATAGTATCTATAGTATTAGTATCTTAATAAGTATTATATAATACTTAGAACTCTTTAAATGTGTTTTAACTCTTAAAATCTAGCTTAAGGTAGTTTAAAGCATTTTAACTTAGTTTTAAACTAGGTTAAATACTTCTTAAATCTATAAAACTAGGTTAAAACTAAGTTAAATCTCTAAATCAATTTAATAATAATCGAGAGTTATTACGATAAAACTAGAGTTAAGAGAAGAAGGTTAAGAAGTTTTAAGTAGTTTTAACCTAGTTTTAACCTAGTTTTAACCTAGTTTTAACTTAGTTTCTACCTAGTTTCTACCTATTTTTTACCTAGTTTTAAGTAGTCTTAAGATATATTTAATATTATTTTAAGCCTAGGTTAAATTATATAAATAAGGCCGTAATGTATAATAGTTTAGAAAATATATAAGAACTATACTATAACCTTAACGATAGACCGCTACTATAAGAATATAAAAGAATATACCTAGAGAACTAGTATATATTTATTACTGTTTTGTTTAAACGATTACTATATAACCTTTAGGATAGATTTTTACATACTTATAAAAAAAATCTTTGGATTACCCTTACTACCCTAAAAACTCAAAAACAAACGACAGAATTAAAATCAGTACCTTTAGATACCCCTTAGAGTGCTAGTAGACTATAGGCGAGCCTATAGTAACGGATAGTAGGTGTACTAGACTTAAACAGAGCTAGTACTACTTACTTATAGGTAGGAGCTAGTACTCTTATACCCTAACTAAAAGCTATAGTAAGGAGCTAGAGAGTAGTAAGGGTAATAAGGACGATAAGACAGAGAAAATCATATAAAGAATTAAAGCCTACGTAATACTAGGTAAGGAGGAAAAGGCATCGCGTCTCTTACGCGACCTTATCGTTATAACAACAATAGTAGTAAAGACAAGAGCCGTAAACACGACGACTTTCTCGCGTACCCTTAGGTCTCTTTTTAAAAAAAACCTAGTAACGATTAGATAATTAAGAACAATGTTAAAAGAGGCCTTCTAAAGGCTAGTAGCGATAGCGGCCCCTTAGGCTACCTATACGTTAGTAGTAGGCTAGTACCTAATAAGAGTATAGGTTATACTAGAGAAGTAGGTTAAGGAGCTAAGGATTAGGGCAGATAGACAGACAGAAGACCTAGTACACTATAGTACTATTAAAGTAGTAATAGTAGCTAATATAGTAATTAAGGGCACTAAGGTAGTAGCGACCTACTAGCTACCTAGTAGTAACACTATCCTTACGTTTAAGGAGGCTATACTAAAGAACGCGATCTAAGATTAGGGCTAGGTATAGAGGGCGTTTAGGCCTATAGCCTAGCTTTATAAGAGTAAGTTTATAGTAATTACAAAAGGCCTACTAGTAGAACAGATTATATAGGTAGAGCTAAGAGCGTTACTAGTAGAGATCTAAGCCTACGCGCTACATGTTATAAAGGCTAAAGTTAAACCTATTAAGGCCTTTATAATAAAGTTTATAATAGTAGTACTATACTTCTAGAGCGCTAACACGGCGACGCGCCTATATAAATAAGGGTTAATCTAGTAAGCCTAGATCTTTAACTATAAGCTGTATTTAGCTAACCTACAAATCTAAAGATACTTCTAGTACTACTAGTTTAGCTATATTAGGCGGTTCTATAAGAACTAGGCCTAGTATAACTACTACGTAAGAGTAACGTACCCTTAAGGTAAAGAGGAGTACCCTTAACTTAATAGTAGAAAGAGATACGTTAACTATAGTAGACTATACGTAGCGTAAGACTATTAGTATCCTAAGGCCCTTAAGGTAAAAGAGTAAGTATATACTATATATTAATAAAGGCTTAGATAGTTTAAGGTATCTAAGAGTAGCTTTACTAGCTAGGTACTTAGCGTTATACTAGTGTCCTTATAAGATAGCGATAATAGCTACTAGATTATAGTATATAAGAGACTATAGACAGGTAATAGTAAGAAGCCTATAGTAAAGACCTTAATAAGGTAAGGACGCTCTCTTATTAGGGTACTAGACACTATAATAGTCTAGAGCTACGACATTATAGAGATGTTAAGCTAAGGGGCTAACTAAGGGTCTAGCGACCTTATTATAACGTAAGAATTACAGATCTTAGACTCTTAGTAATAAAATTAATAATAGTATACTAGAATACTATAAGAAAGAACAGCCTTACCTTAATAGTACTTTATAATAGCTATAAAGTTAACGTTATAGTAATTTAAGAGCTATAGTATAATACTTAGACAAAGATAGTTTACTACCTAGTATAAGTAAAGTACTAGTAGGTCTATAAGGGCAAAGGTAAAGTAGTTATCTACGTTTATAAGTAGTACCTACCTCTTACTTAAGTAGTAAAGACAGGCGTCGACTAGTATTACGTTACTTTATAAGGTATTACTATCTAGTTAATATACTTGCTGATTCCTAACTCCTTAGGCTAGGCTAGCCCTCTCTAGTAGCTTACTAAGAAGGACTTAAAGAGGCTATAGATCGTTATAAGTAATATAAACCTTTACTACCTACTCTAGAATAGAGCTAGTAAGACTACCCTTAAATTAGAGACCCTTCTTTATCTAGCCTATAAGTAGTAGCTCTTACTATACACGCCCTAAAGAGAGCTAATATAGTAGTAATATAACGAACAGGACTTAATAATTAACTACACGTAAGTTATAGTAACGCTCTAGTATACTTATTAAGGTAACCTAGGGTATAAGGGATCTAACTACTATACCTAGCTAATTAAGGTTATTACTTAAGTAAGGGATTACTAAGAGAGAGCCGTAGAGGTACTAAGATAAAGCTAGACCCTAATAGACTAAGAACTAGTAACGATTAAGGCTAGAAGGCTCTACCTCTCCTTAAAGCTACTAGATATACCTTATAAGGTTAATAAGGTAGTTAACTCGCTTACCTCTTAGCTTATATGTATTATAGATATACAGTAGTGCCTAGAGTATATAGTTTTAAACTAGGTTTAAGCTAGTTTTAAGCTGGTTTTAAGCTGGTTTTAAGCTGGTTTTAAGCTAGTTTTAAGCTAATCTTAAACTAGGCTTAAGTTAGGCTTAATTTTATGTTCTGTCATAAAGCGTAAAACATTTAAAGGTTTAAGCTAGAAAACCGGCTTAAAACCGGCTTAAAACCGGCTTAAAACCGGCTTAAAACCGGCTTAAACCTAGCTTAAACTTAGTTTAAAATTATTTGTAGCTTAGGTTTACTACTTAGGTATTTAGACTACTCTTATAATATAATTACGTATTTAATTATAAGTATTAATAAACACTAGTATTAACTATCTAAGGTCTAATCTAAAAAGGATTTATAAGGACAACAGAAAGTAAAGAGACGATCTATAAGGGCTGTCGAGATCTGTAAGGACAATAGAGGGCTACAGGGCTGTAGAGAGTATTCGTAAAGGTATAGAGGGCTGTTAAGAACAGAGGGCTGTCAAGGGTATTTGTAAAGGCATAGAGGGCTGTCGAGAACAGAGGGCTATCAAGGGTATTTATAAAGGCACAGAGGGCTGTTAAGAACAGAGGGCTGTTAAGGGTATTCGCGAAGGTAACAGAGGGCTGTTAAGATCCGTGAGGGCAACAGAGGGCTAGAGGGCTGTCGAGAACAGAGGGCTGTCAAGAACAAAGGGCTGTTAAGAACAGAAGGCTGTCGAGGGTATTCGCGAAGGCACAGAGGGCTGTCAAGAACAGAGGGCTGTCGAGGGTATTCGCGAAGGCACAGAGGGCTGTTAAGAACAGAGGGCTGTCGAGGGTATTCGCGAAGGCACAGAGCTCTGGCTGTTAAGAACAGAGGGCTGTCGAGGGTATTCGCGAAGGTACAGAGCTCTGGCTGTCGAGAACAGAGGGCTGTCAAGGGTATTCGCGAAGGCACAGAGGGCTGTCGAGGGTATTCGCAAAGGCACAGAGGGCTGTCGAGAACAGAGAGCTGTTAAGGGTATTCGCGAAGGCACAGAGGGCTGTCGAGAACAGAGGGCTATCGAGGGTATTTGCAAAGGTAACAGAGGGCTGTCAAGATCTGCGAGGGTAACAGAGGGCTAGAGGGCTGTCGAGAACAGAGGGCTGTCAAGAACAAAGGGCTGTTGAGAACAGAAGGCTGTCGAGAACAGAGGGCTGTCGAGGGTATTCACAAAGGCACAGAGGGCTGTCAAGAACAGAGGGCTGTCGAGGGTATTTGCGAAGGCACAGAGGGCTGTCGAGGGTATTCGTAAAGGCATAGAGGGCTGTTAAGAACAAAGGGCTGTTGAAGGCTATAGAGGGCTAGCAGGTAGAAGGGATTCACGAAGGCAGAGGACGTTTGTTTACATGTAAACAAAGCTAACTCTATTAGCTTAGTCACGTGATATAAAATCACGTGATTTTAGAATAATACTATATAGTAGTAGTAGTATAAGTTCTAAGTATAAACCTTAAACCTAAGCCTTAAACCTAAGCCTTAAACCTAAGCCTTAAACCTTAAGCCTAAAACCTAAAGCTAAGTTCTAAGTAGTTTTAAACTAGGCTTAAACTAGGCTTAACCTAGTTTTACTTACTTAAGATAATCTTAAGTTAAGTTTAAACCTTACTTAAGATACTATAAAAAGGCATGTAAGTATCTACCTTAAGAAAGAAGGTTAACTAGGGGCGTACTAAGCTCTAGTAGAATAGTAAGGTCCTTAAGGCCGTCTAGTAAATATAAGTAGTACGCTATTAATACGCTACTACCCTAACTAAGCTCTACTAGCGCGACCTCTAGTAGGCTAGTACTTATTAACTCTATATAATCTAAGATATAAAAACTAAGAGCTAGTATAGCGCCCTTACTACTACCTTAAAGGACTAATAGAAACTCTAAAGTCTTAAGAAGTAGGCTAGGCTCTATAGCTATATACCCCTAGAACCGGCCTTACTCTCGCCTCTATAAGGAGCTAATAAAGAGGCACTAGCTATAAGCTACTATAATAAAGTAATAGTATTAGGCTAGTAGTACTTTCTAGAATTAATAGCTAATCTTAGTAACGTTATTCTAGACCTCTAGAACAAGTAGTACTAACAGTTTACTATTAACGACGCTATAACAAAGGTAGATATTACTAATGTTCTTTAAAAGACAAGTACCTAAAAGGCGCTAGGTTCTAACCTACTACTTACTAGCTTCCTTAAGGTATATAAGTGCCCTTTAGCTAAGCTCCTTATACTAATAGCGACTATAAGCCTCTAGCTAAGGCACTTTCTCGCGTAGTTTAAAGTAGCGAAAGTAGTAGTACTACATAAGCCTAGAAAGACCCTTAAATAGTAATAAACTATAAGGGCCTATAGGCTAATATTACTCTTAAATATAATAGGTAAAGTAATTAAGTTAGTAATTAGCTAGTGCTTTACTAACGCTATAAAGTCGTAGAGGCTCCTTCTAGAGATATAGATAAGGAACTAGCTATAATACTTAACAGACCTTATAGTTAAAATAGTAGTTAATACTACGTATATAGTATAGAGCTATAAGGCTATAGTATCTCTCTTCTAACTCGACATTAAAGGTACCTTTAATATAGTAAACTATATACGCCTTCTTTATACTCTCTAGTACCTAAGGTTTCTTATATAAGCTATATAGTAGGTATATAGCTTTTTTACTAATTAGACTACTAGTCTCTTCTTTAATAAGAAGGCGGCGCTACCTTAAGAGGTTACTATAAGGGTACTATAAGGCTTGTCCTTCTCTCTTATCCTTTTTCTTCTTTATACTACTAGCTTATATACGCTACTATAAGGTTATATAAGCCTTATTATAGTAGGGTTTACTAACGACCTTAATCTCTTAGCTTTTAGTAAAGATACGACAAAGACACACTAGTACCTTAAAGAGGCGTAATAGACATGTAGCTAGTAGTTGTATATAAGAAAGATAGAGTTTGTCTCTAAAAAGAGTAAGCTCTTTTATCTTACTTATACTTACACTATACTAACGACGCTTATCTACCTTAATAGCTAGGTTATACCTCTAGTCTAAGAGGCCTACTTTCTAGGAGTTTAGATAGACTAAAAGCTTAGATAAAAGGGCTACCTTAACGCTATTAAACAAAAGTTTATTACCTAGTAGTTTACGCTTATAAGGCTTACTGTGTCTGTATAGAGATATAGCTTATTACGTATAAGAGAGATCTATATAAAGGTAATCTAGAGTACTATAGTATATAGTGTAAGGGTCTAGTACTGTCCCTTTAGGTAGTAAGCTAAGGAGATTATAAAGGACCTTACTATAAAGTAGTTATAGTACTTTTACGTTATTATAAGGACATACTAAGTAACTCTTGTCTAGTTCCTTAAGTCTAAAATAGCTATACCTTTACTTAACCTTTACCTTAATAAGTAAGTAGTAGACTTTAAATAACGTCTTAAACGTATAAGTAAGGATAAACTTATATAGTCTATCTATAATAAGGTAGCGACCTGTCTTTAATAACACTAGAGACACTACTATAACGCTACTATAGTACTACCTTATACATTACTTAAGTATAAGATAGGCTAAGCTATGTAAGTAAAGGACTAGTATAAGGACTTCTCTCTAAAAGAGACCTTATAAAAGAACTAAAAGGCACGATAGTCTTAATACAATAGCTTACTAGTATACTACTAGGGCACTACCCTAGCCACGCTACCTGCCCCTTTAGTAGATACCCTTAAGAAGTACTTACTCTTTTATAAGTATAAGAGCTCTCTTTTAATATAGATCTGTACTAGTAAAGTTAGACTCTAGACTTTCTTGTTTAAGCGTAGAGTACTAGAGGTAGCGACCTCTTAGTACCCTTATAGTAAGGCCTTAGAGATAGTAGTATACCTAGTCCTTAACTACTAGTAGCTAGATTAATAGTAGTAGGCCTTATAACAAGCGCTCTACCTAAGAGCGCTATAGACGTTCCGTAACTTTATAGTAGTAATAGAGAAAGGTAAGAGCGTTTATATACTAATCTATTAGCTACTATCTACTAGCTAATTCTTATAGTTCTAGCTAGCTAAGTACTACTTAATAAAAGAGTTATAAGAAAGAGAGTAGCCCTAGCTAGTAGCTAGCGCCTTACTAGCGCCTTACTAGCGTCTTATTAGTATGTTTAGTATCACTAGGCTAAAAGGTTAAGTTCTAGTAAGGTAGTAATAAGGACCTAGCGCCCTAGTAGTACTATAATAGTATAAACGTAAGTAGTAGTACGTAGGTTTTTACCTAGCTTTAGTACGGTTTTACTACGTGATTTATATAGTATAAAGGTTCTGTATATAGTAGGCATAGGTAGTAAGAACAATAATAATAATAATAATATATAACCTTTAGTATTATAATAAACTATAGTTAACTTTCTTTATTTTTTTTCTTTTAAAAAAGAAAATAAGACACTAGGTATAAAAAGAAAAAAAAACCTAAATGCTAGAACTACTTATAAAACATAGTAACCCTTAAGTAATAAGAGTAGCTATATCTACTATAAGCCTTACTAGTTCTCTTTTACTTATATCCTTATACTTACTATTACTATCTGTCTCTAATCTTTAAAGCGTGTCTAAGTTCTACTGTTATATTAGTAGTAACCTAAGTTTAAAGTTACCTTATACTTACTAGCTTCTTAAAGTACTTTATATATAACTTAACTATTATAACTCTCTTAGTAAGGGCCTTAGTTCTCTACTTAGATAACTCTTATTTCTTCTTTACTAGTATATTTACCTTAGTAGTAAGTTTGTTTTAAGTCTTTATCTAGTAACTTAATTTTTTAAGTAAAAAAAGATTTTTACTCTTTATCTCTTTTTTTTTATTTATATTAAATTTAGCTTAACACTCTACTAATATGTCTTTCTTATCCTTTAAAAATTACAAATACTTCTAGACTACTATCTAGGCGTGAATTTACTTTATAAAAGAAAAAACTTTAAAAAAATCGTCTATGCCCTTTTATTACCTTAAAAACTTAGAAACAAACAATAGATTTAAAATTAGTACCTTTAGATACTTTCTAGAGTACTAGTAAACTATAAGTAAGCCTATAGTAACAGATAGTAAGTGTACTAGACTTAAATAAAGCTAGTACTACCTACTTATAAGTAAGAGCTAGTACTCTTATTCCTTAGTAAAAAACTATAGTAAAAAGCTAGTAAGTAGTAAGAGTAGTAGTAATAATAAGATAAAGACGATTCTATAAAGAATTAAGGCTTATATAATACTAGGTAAGAAGAAAGAGGCGTTACGCCTCTTACACGACCTTATTATAATAATAATAATAGTAGTAAAAATAAAAGTAGTAAATATAGTAACCTTTTTACGTACTTCTAAGACCCTTTCTAATAACGACCTAGTAACGATTAGATAGTTAAGATTAATACTAAAAAAGGCCTTCTAGAGGCTAGTAGTAATAACGGCCCTTTAGACTACTTATACGTTAGTAGTAAGCTAACGCCTAGTAAGAGTATAGGTTATACTAGAGAGGTAGACTAGAGAGCTATAGATTAGAGTAGATAAGTAGATAAAGAACCTAGTACGTTATAACGCTATAAAAGTAGTAATAGTAGCTAATATAGTAATTAAGAGTACTAAGGTAGTAGTAACTTACTAGCTACCTAGTAGTAATACTATTCTTATGTTTAAGGAGTCTATATTAAAGAGTATACTTTAAGATTAGGGCTAGGTATAAAAGACGTTTAGGCCTATAGCCTAGCTTTATAAAAGTAAGTTTATAGTAATCGTAAAAGGCTTACTAGCCGACTATATTATATAAGTAAAGGTAAGAGTATTACTAGTAGAGATTTAGGCCTACGTACTATACGTTATAAAGGTTAAGGTTAAGCCTGTTAAGGCCTTTATAGTAAAGTTTACAATAGTAGTACTATACCTCTAGAGTACTAAGGTAGCGATACACCTATATAACTAAGGATTAATCTAGTAAGCCTAGATCTTTAACTATAAGCTATACTTAGCTAACCTATAAATCTAAAGATACTTCTAGTACTATTAGTTTAGTTATATTAGGCGATTTTATAAGAACTAGGCCTAGTATAGCTACTATATAAGTATAGCGTACTTATAAGGTAAAGAAGACTACCCTTAACTTAATAGTAAGAAGAGATGTATTAACTATAGTAGACTATATATAGTATAAGACTATTAGTGTCTTAAGGCCCTTAAGGTAAAAGAGTAGGTATATACTATATACTAATAAAGGCCTAAGTAGTTTAAGGTATTTAAGAGTAGCTTTACTAGCTAG